CCAGTAATCGGCGGTGCATTTTGGGTAATGTAGTTCATGACTCAAAGCATGTTATATGTGTTAAAGAGAAGAAACGGAAACTGAGTTGTTACTTTGGTATTGTAAGTCGCCTGCATATTAGAAAAATGGGGCAATGTACTAACTAAATGATGTATTTGCAGATTGTGAAACCAGAACCCATTTCATGCTTGCAGGTATGAGTTATTGTGTTCATTTTGTTTTATTTTTTTTTAAATAAATTTTAAGTGTTCATAAATCATATTAATTCTATATAAAAATGTGTCTTTGGTGTAATGCATTATATTGAGTGGAACAATTATTCAATTACAGTTACTGTAAAGAAAACAACCTGTAACATGAGTCTGTGTGAAACATTCTGAAGAGGGATTGTGAAACCAGAACAGATGATTGTTGTAACACTGTCCCATTCCATGCTTGCAGTAAACACCCAAGAAAAGGCATTACTGGTGTTTGTCCTTATTCGAGGTTGATCCTTTGGTGCATCCAGTGTTCCGCTACAACATTTCTCTTAAGCAATCGTTAAACTTTTTCATTTTTAAATTTGAAACTATTTAGTTTTAAAAGTTTGCTTAAATGGGTTGTTGACATGCCATTGCATATTCAGTGTCACACAATATAAAAAATGTAAATAATATTGTCATCATTTAAAATGTATTTGTCTTTGAACCCTATCTCGTGTCTCGTCTCGTCTCAGATTTTTGCCTTCACTTAAATCTGTTTCAACATGTGTTTACACTTATATTTGATTATTTTTGCATTTTAATCTGGACTTTCATGCCAGCCCAGAAAATTAATTCTTCTTCTATTATTATTATTATTATTATTATACCGTTCTCTAATGCAATTTTCATAACCAGGTGTTTTTGCTTTAAGCATTAATCTCACTGAATTTTGATACATTTCTCTTAAGAAATCGTTAAACTCTTTCATTTTTAAGTTTTAAACTCTTTAGTTTTAAAGTTTGCTTAAATGGGTTGTTGACATGACATTGCATTTTCAGTGTCACACAATATAAAAAATGTAAATAATTAATATTGTCATCATTTAAAATTGATTTGTCTTACATGGACCCATTGTTATAAAAACTGCTTTGTTATTAGATTTATTATTATATATATATATATATATTATTTTTTTTTTTCAGCTAAATCTCAAAATTTTCCTATGGTGTGACTGTCTCAAGGACATTCAATAAATTACAACTTTTATAAATTAAGTGAAAAGTGACATGACATGATCCCTAAAAAAGGGCCACAGGTACTGCCCCTTCCAGTGTCCCGTGGAAGCCACCTGTGCCCCTACTTTTTGGCGTAGGCCAGGGCTTACCACAAGAGGACCAGCTACTGCTGCTATGGCACTACCCACTCAGTAAGACTGGATAACACTGGGAAACGTACCCGTTACACTTGGTACAGGGACGTTGCGGAAGCTCCAACCTTCCCGAAGGACGTTTTGGAAGCAAATACACATTTGACCTTAGGTGCATATGGAAGATTGGAGGTGATTGTAACCCTCTTGGAATGGCTGAAGTCTGCCGGGGAAACACGGGCTCTGAGGCCATACCGTGGACTTTACACATATGGGATCCACTTAGGTCTCTACATATGGAACCCAGCCCTCTACCGGTTCTCACGGATTCATCGAGAGAGGGCCTGGCGCCGGACACTC